AAACATAGAACAGTAAATAAAGAAGTACAGCAACCAATTATCTCTTCTAGTTATGATCTTTGTACTTGGTTGCTGCTTGTTGTAGGTTGCTAAGCCTTTTTAAAATATTTTTTTTAGGTTTTATATATACATTTGAATAACCAAAAAATCATAAATTATTGTATCAATACCATAGAATTCCACATTAAGTTATCAAGCTTAGTAACTAAGCTGTATTTCAGTATAAAAATATGAAATTTGGAGCAGACTAAAGACACAGCCTACCTTCTTGAAATTTTGGTTCGAAATAAAGAGATGGTGTTCAAACACGTTAAAATGACCAAGAAAGCCACTAGGGGGACATTCTAAGCTTTTGATTGGTTATTCATGTCATATATAGAAGTAAGTGTATATAAGAGAGATTTTCTAAAAATGGAAGGAGATGAGCGGGGTGCTGCTGTTTGATTTATTATGTGAGCGATATATTAGCAAATAGAAAAGATAAGCAGTTCTTATTTTATTTTATAGCTTCTCAATATTGGTAATTTGAGTACCTAATTGGTATGAAACTATAGGCTTAGTATTTTGACATCACAAACATCTAATCTGAACCAGTGTTTATGGGTGTTTTTTTATTATTTACTTCTAAATTAAGAAATTGGGTAATGTATAGTTCTAAAATTTGAATTATAATCTACAGTTTGATACCAAACTTATTAACATGTGTTCATGAAATAGGAGTTAAATGAAATTTTGAATGACATGGCCTTTCACCCATGACCTGTCTGGAAAGGGTTAAAATCTCACTTCCGCTCATCAGACAACTGATGGAATAATGTATATATATATATAATATATAGGGTGTAAAAGCCATCGTCCAAAGTCATGTCAGTACAATGTGTATATTGTCTTCAGGTCATATTGGTCTACACAACATTGGTTTCCAGAAGATAACAGTGGAAGTAAAGTTTTCTCAGTGAGAACTAGTTTTATTGAAAATCAGTACAATCTTGTTTCTTGTAACAACGCTCGTAATAAATACAATTAGAGTTTATTTGATATGCCACAGAAGATTACTCGAATTTTTCCATAATGTTCATTGTTTTGATGGGTTTAAAGAAAGAAATATATATCAAACAGGAGACTAAGTTTACAATTTCCCATTTGTTAACTTACCTCAGGTGTCTTTTTTTTGCTTCCCATTCCATTAAATGGCAAAAGACATTATACTTGCTAAATGCTAATATTGGGGACAGGTACCGATCACGACCAATAAAACGTGTCATGCTGTTGGGATGTTTATTGGTTCATTTGAAAAATATTTAATGATTGTTTAGATCCTGTGTGCCATGGCATGTCTGCTTTCGTGCTGTACAATGTAAAGCATGCATGTTGAATGAAAGGCAGATCAAATAAATCCTGGTACTGAGTATCAATAGACTTTCACATCTAAACTGATGTAAGCAGAAACAACTTGTTTTAATATTAGTACGATTTTTGGTTAGAAAGCGATTAAAAAACATTTATATATACACACTGACTTTTAATATTTAGATATTTTGTACTGATTATCTCTTCAAACTTACTTTAATTTCCATATAGAAAGTGTCAACCAACTCGTGATAACTCTGGAAATCATGAAGTGGTCCTGCACCTGATTCATCCAAGATGTTACTTAGTGGTAACATAGTCATGAAGAATTGAATATGGTGTGATTTAACTTCAGTGATGACCTGTCCTCCAGAATTAACACCACCATGCAGAGAATGACGTGACCGTCCCATATCACACACACTTTAAAATCTTATACTCTCAGTACACATGATGTATCTACAATCTGAAGAATGCTACTATTTGTATCTTACTTTCAGTACAGCATGATGTATCCATCTGCTGAAGAATGCTACTATTTGTATCTTACTCTCAGTACAGCATGATGTATCCATCTGCTGAAGAATGCTACTATTTGTATCTTACTCTCAGTACAGCATGATGTATCCATCTGCTGAAGAATGCTACTATTTGTATCTTACTGTCAGTACAACATGATGTATCCATCTGCTGAAGAATGCTACTATTTGTACATCATGTTGTACTGAGAGTAAGATATCTACAATCTGAAGAATGCTACTATTTGTATCTTACTCTCAGTACAACATGATGTATCTACAATTTGCTACTATTTGTGTCTTGGAACCAAGTTTATTACTGAAGACGTTATCACGTGTTGCCTGTATTTTTATAGAAACATGATTATTTATAATCTCTGACCTAGTGTGTTTCTATCATATCTTTTACATATTTAATGTGATTGAGAGTATCTTAGTAATTACTTTCTTGTGTTACATCCATATTGAAACGTTACAAACTAGTGATTTGTTATAGATTGCCAGCTCAGTGTTTGTATAAATGTGTTGTCATTTTTGAAGTATGTATTCGTATGAGAAGTTTTAAAGACATTTCATTAATTAATAGTCAGGTTTTTAGGGCTGAATCTTTACTCCCAACAACTCTTGGTAAAATGTTAAACAAGGACTATTTTCAATAAAGCATTCTTATGAGTATATATTTGGGTTTGCAGATATTTAGAGTTTTAATAAACCCATAATTTAAGTACCATTTTTAAATTGTATATTGATTATTATCTGATAGTTTATCTTTGACAGTTTTTTTTAAATAATGTTTATAGATACATTTTAGGAGAAACTGTATGTCTGGAAATATGGGAAGGGAACACATCTTTCTGCTTACATGTGTTGCTTCAATTTTATTTTTAAAGAAATCGTCTATCCTTCTGTATAAATAAAATATGTTACTAATGATAAAACGATGTATAATAAAAATTCTGGTTCTTTTATTTCTGACTATAAAAATATATATATATCAGTATAAAAGTAATCCTTAGTTTCCATTACAGAACACACTCGTTCTTTTCAGAAGTGGGGACGTTGTAATGTAATGGCTAATCCTATCATTTGATTAAAGAAACCCCATAGTTGGGAGGTGGGTGATGTTCTTTTGCTACCTTCCCTCTAGTCGATTACTTCTAAATTAGGGATGGCTATTTCAACTAGCCTTTGAGTAGCCTTGTGAGATTTAACAAAGAAACATCTTCCAAGAAAAGAACTAAGAAGGCAATTAGTCAGCGGGTTGATGTGGTCTAATGAGTATTGTGACGAGCATCAGATGAGAGGGTCCAAGGTTCCAGCCATGATATGAATTGCTGAAACTGATTTCATTCACTGTAAGAAACATTTGAATTAATACCACTTTGTTTAACCAGGCTATTGAGATTAACACCGTGTGTAAGCTAGTTGGAATTAATATCACTGTTTGTAAGCCAGCTATTGTTATTAACACTGTGTGTAAGCCAGTTGGAATTAATATCACTGTTTGTAAGCCAGCTATTGAGACCACTGTGTGTGTGTAAGTCAATTGTTATAATTAATACCACTGCGTTTGTAAGCCAGCTATTGGTATAAAGACCACTGTGTGTGTAAGCTGTTTGGCTGTGGAAGAGTGAGTCAAAACATACAGAGCTTTGTATGAGGTCTCCCTTGATAGCTAAATTAACTATTTACCATGAGTGAACTAGACCATGACCAGGTTCTGAATTACTTACATAATGTACAAGAACAAATCCAGATAAGTACCTCTTCCTTTAAAAACCAACTAGTTGGACTAACTGATCTTCTACCAGAGAAGTACATCTTGCGACACACTTTCTTTTAAAACAAACTTGTTGGATTAATTGATCTTCTACCAGATAAGTACCTCTTGCGACACACTTCCTTTAAAAACCAACTTGTTGGATTAATTGATCTTCTACCAGATAAGTACCTCTTGCGACACACTTTCTTTTAAAACAAACTTGTTGGACTCACTGATCTTCTACCAGAGAAGTACCTCTTGCGACACACTTCCTTTAAAAACCAACTTGTTGGACTAACTGATCTTCTACCAGATAAGTACCTCTTGCAACACACTTTCTTTAAAAACCAACTTGTTGGATTAACTGATCTTCTACCGGAGAAGTACCTCTTGCGACACACTTCCTTTGTGTGTCGCAAGAGGTACTTATCTGGTAGAAGATCAGTTAATCCAACAAGTTGGTTTTTTTTCTTTAAAAACCAAGTTGTTGGATTAACTGATCTTCTACCAGAGAAGTACCTCTTGCGACACACTTTCTTTAAAAACCAACTTGTTGGACTAACTGATCTTCTACCAGATAATTACCTCTTGCGACACACTTTCTTTTAAAACAAACTTGGATTAATTGATCGGCTACTTTTTGTCTTTAGTATCTGATAGTAAAGTAATTCTGGGGAAACTATTTTAGTTTATTAATATTATAATAATGCTCTGCTTTTGTCTCTCCCGAAAATCCTTGCTCACTTTATCTGAATGTGCATGCGCACGAACCTCGTTTCAGCAGAAACAAAAGCCCGATGTAAATATACTTTAGTAGATATTTTGTACAACATATTAAAAGTTTATTAAAGTGTTTAAAAAAGTCTAACGTTAGGTTGTAGAATAACATTATAAGTTTATTTATTGATAATATTAAGTACGGTATAGTTTAGCCCTAACTAGACTAAAGCAAAAAAATGTACACAAGTTACAGTTTTAATTTATATCTTTATCAAATATAGGCCTTACTTAAAGGCTTAACTAATGTTAGGCCTAAGACAAGTGGTCTTGCAGATTTCGGTGTCTGCGTTTAGAATTCTTTTGTATTATTTAAGAAATCCTGTATTTGTAGAAGTACTTTTGCAATAAAGATACTAATTTGACCGCAGTGTTTTGCTCGTTGACATATAATTGATAAACTTACCATGAAATTAAAAACTTTGTTATTTAGTCAACATATCAAATATGTAGCATAACGATGTTCTTGTTTGAGAAGAAAACCCTAACCTATCGGCAGTACACAGTTACCAACAATTGTTAACATTTTTATCTTAATAATAAATTTCGTACATTTAAAACTTTCACATTACATGGTGTGGGGTTTTAAAATTGGTGGAAACAATCACTGACAAATAGCTTTGCAAATATAGTTTTTAAAGTTTCTATAAAAGTTCATGAAAGTGTTTTCATGTTAAATTATATTTGTTTTAAAGTTACATCAATATTATCTATCACAAGGCATCAGATAAGCTATACTAGGTGTAGAGCAGGGCCTTAACCAGGGTTCGGGGCAGGGGGAGAATGCCTAGAAAAATACCTCCCCTCAAAAACGTTGGTACTCCCAGCACTCCATTTGGTTTACACTTAACGTTTTGAGTATTTGACCTTTTGGTAAAATGAACTGGTTTTTTTAAACAATTTTTAAGAATATGTGTGTGAAATATAAAATAAATATATAACAAATATGTATATAATATAATATAAATATGGCATGATTTAGGAAAAAATTGTCTTTCCTCTCTCTCTCACTTCTCTTATGCCCCACCCTTCCAAATGGCTTATGATGCTAAACACTAGGTTTGAATGCCCGTGATAGTTTTGTGCTCTCCTTCCCTCACTTTTTTTTTTCGAAATGAAAGAAAGTTCAAGGGGTGTTATTTATTCCAAACCCCTGTCTACGTCCTTGTTTAGAAGGTGCGTTACTTAATATTTCAGAGATTGGGGTGCATGACTTACAGAAAATGGTGACTGCTCTTACAGAGCCATCTATATGTGGTTCTTTAATGGTTATTTTTTATTGTTGGTTAAATATCACTGTCAGTAATTCATGGGCAATATACCCACACATCAGTACTCGATGTAACATGCACAAACTCCTTGAGGATGTCAAATACTGACGAGTCAATTGACCCTGAAGGAGCAACCATAAGGCCTCCTGTATACAGCAACTCAAGGTCAAAGACGTCTGTTGCCATCATTAGTAGCCACACATTGGTGATTGTTTGTATCCTAGGGAAGGTAAGCTGAACAAACACAACATTACTTTGGAGTTCTCTTCACTAGTAAGCCACACATTGGTGATTGTATCCTAGGGAAGGAAAGCTGAACAAACACAACATTACTTTGGAGTTCTCTTCATCACGATCAAGATTTTGTGTTGATCGTAAGTGTTTAAAAGATAAAACTATGAGTTGTGTGTCCAGAATCACAAAAATCACCAGCATTTGTTATAATTATTCTTCACTAGGTACATGAACAAGTTTGTAAGATAAAACAGTCGTTACAGATAGTTTCGTGTTATGAATATTCTGAAATAAGAACGTATCTCTTTTAAACTGATACGAAACATGACTTAAAGAAGCACATATAATCCGTAGAAGCTCCTTTAAAACTAATACGAAACATGACTTAAAGAAGCACATATAATCCGTAGAAGCTCCTTTAAAACTAATACGAAACATGACTTAAAGAAGCACATATAATCCGCAGAAACTCCTTTAAAACTAATACGAAACATGACTTAACGAAGCACATATAATCCGTAGAAACTCTTTAAAACTATTACGAAACATATAATTCGTAGAAACTCCTTTAAAACTAATGCGAAACATATAATCCGTAGAAACTCCTTTAAAACTAATACGAAACATGACTTAAAGAAGCACATATAATTCGTAGAAACTCCTTTAAAACTAATACGAAATATGACTTAACGAAGCACATTATAATCCGCAGAAACTCCTTTAAAACTAACACGAAACATGACTTAAAGAAGCACATATAATCCGTAGAAACTCCTTTAAAACTAATACGAAACATGACTTAAAGAAGCACATATAATCCGTAGAAACTCCTTTAAAACTATTACGAAACATATAATCCGTAGAAACTCCTTTAAAACTAATACGAAACATGACTTAAAGAAGCACATATAATTCGTAGAAACTCCTTTAAAACTATTACGAAACATGACTTAAAGAAACACATATAATCCGTAGAAACTCCTTTAAAACTAATACGAAACATGACTTAAA